ATTGTGGCTATTGTGATTAGTGTGGTTATTGTGATTGTAGGTCCTACCAGAGGCAGTAGTAGGAGGGCTGGAGCAGGGTGTGTATGTTGCATATCGGAGTGTGTCAAGAGTGACCGTTTTCTTTTTGATGGCATCAAGTAAATTCACTACTTTCACTTTTTCTGTAGTGGTGAAACACAAAAATGTTTCTTTAAATCAAACAAACTTCTATAAACTCAACAGCAGATTTAAATTTATACAGAATATCAAATATATAATGGTGAATGTCATTATCCTTCATACATGAAGATGCATACAAACAAATATAAGACTTGAAATACTGATCACATTGAGGATATAGATGCATGCATGCGTGCGTGCGTGTGTGTGTGTGTGTGTGTGTGCACGCGCATACACACCTAACTTTTGCTCTTGGCTGACATGGTTGAGGTTGAACATGTTGAGGAAATGTTTCTTGTTCTCTAGTTCAGGTGCCCTGTCCATGTCCTCGGGTGTGTATCGGGTGGACAGGGTGGGCGTGGGTGTGGGCGGAGTCTGACATTTACTCTGAACAGGTATTGGAGACTGCTCCCTCATCATCTTTCTCCTCTTCTTCCTCTTTCTCTCCAAAAGCTCATCCCGCTGTGAGAGTGTGGTCAGCCCAAACACAGCCAGGAAGTTCAGTTTCTTCAGAGATAGAGAGAGAGAGAGAGAGAGAGAGAGAGAGAGAGAGAAGAGAGAGAGAGCATACCTGAGCAGGAGAAGGAAGAGGAGGGAGGAGTGTGTGTGGGGATAAGAGAGAAAGCAGTACCTCTTTAGACTGGTCCAGTTTGAGAGGAGGCTGTTCAGTGACTCTCCTCAGATGAGCTCTCACTTCTTCTTCATCACTCTCATCATAAGAGTCATCCAACTCATAGTAATAACCTAAAACACAGATCACAGAGTGAGATATACAGGTGAATGAAAACGCAAATGAGAACATGTATTCTATTTTTTTTTAAGAGATATTTACAAATCCCATAGTCAACTCCAGAATTATTGGCACCATTCATCTATATTAAAAAACATGAGTGAAGCCTTGCAATTTCTGAATAATAAATAATGCAGTGAGTGATCTTTTGATCTTCACCATAAAAGGATACAGTGTAGTTTGTTTTAACAAAATATTTTGCCAAACAAAGCATTTATCAAATAAATTTCACAAGAGACTTATCTGCACCCCAACTACTAATATTTACTAAGGACTGAAAGCAATTTGGAAATAATACATGCTTTATCATTTACAATGATCATTTGTTTGCACTTATTTAAACATTTTTTGGGAATGTTAATTGTATTTACAGAACATGTTAAGGTATTTATTTTATTCTTATGAGAATGATTTTTATATCTTTGAAGCAAATATCAAAGAAACTTATATATTCTATATAATTGTGGAGTAGACTGTAAGGTTTGACACTTTTAAAGTTGTTTTCAGGACTGGACCAGCTTCAGTGACCCAAAACAAGTACAAGGATGAAACAGCTGTAGGAAATTGTACCCTTTTCTCTGGCTTCCCTGCGTCGCTTCTCCTCCAGGTCGAGTTTGCTCAGAAGAGTTCTGTGCTGCTGCAGTGCGTGATCATACACCAGTGTTGCTTCTCGCCCGGGACACTGAGGAAAGCCTCTGATTGGGGACCCTGCTCTTTTAGTGCCCCTGAGCTCTCCAAAGGTCGCAGGCAGGGGAAGAGGGAGCCTCTGCTTGTTCAGAATGCTCTGGCTCAACTTCTCCTGCCCTGTAAGGAAGGTGCTGGGCTCGAGGAGGCCAGGTGTCCTAGGAGGAAGGCCCCTGTCTGGGCACTCGGGTTTAGTCAATCCCGGAGGTGGACGACTCGGGGGGAAGGGAGGGTCATACGCTCGACGTGTGTGTGAGGGAGAGTTGATGAGGGACACCGGATTCCAGAGTGTGGTGGGAGGATTAGGAGGGGTGGGTTTGGGGGAGATGAGAGGAGGTGGTGCTCCCAGGTGGTGAGGTAGCTCTCTGGTATTCAAGTCCTGGTGGCGTGAGTTAGGCCTGTGTGCAAGAAACCATGCAGAGTTAGTCAATATGGACACAAGATGGCGCCATTCTCTACATGTTTCTACAGGAAGCGTGGCAGTCTGGCCTCTCCTTCGAGGAATATTATCTCTTCTAGTTTGTCTCAGGGTGCTTCAAGATCGTGGCATTTGAAGAGGATGAGAGCCCAAAGAAGATCAGTATGGTTTAGATTAATCTAGGGCTGCATGGTTATGGCCAAAACGATAATCACAATTATTTATTGATTTTAGGGACAACATATTTTTATTGCACTTTCACATTTAAATAAATAGACTGCTGCTTTCACCTCCATTTTGTGCTACATACCTGCTAATGTACAAATCTTTGCACCAATTTAGACTGATCCTTAAAGTGCATCATCTCGTAGAAGCAAAATGTAAATAAAATTGTACCCAAAATATAGGATAAGTTTAAAATAAAAATACCATCAACCAAGTGAAAATATGCAACCCAATATAATAATATGCAAACAATTCAGGCATATGCAGAAAAGGCAATAACAGTGTTTACAGGAGGATAGATGCAGCCAAATCTCCCAATAGAGTGGTGCAGTGAAGGTCATTTTGTACCGAAACCCGGAAGTTAGCATCACACCGGTTCCCTCGACAAAAACCCAGTAGGATTTTCACATAGGCGTTTGAATTATTGTAAAAAATAAGCTCTGTGATCAACAAAAGTTTACATGACTAACACGTTTTGGCCATCAAGATCATTTTCACAAATGGACACAACTTTTATGAAGTTTTAAGCCTAAATACAATCGGCAGAAATAAAAAGCTAACCGGCATGATGACGTTTAATGTCCCCGACAACGTCGGTCATCAATTTAGCAACATGTTAGTGTCATGATTTCCCCTCCGCAAGCGCTGGAGCACGAAGCGAAGCTCGCAGCAAGCTCTAAAATGCTAACTCGTTTCCAGGTTTTGCCGTTACAAAATTATGCCATCCCTGCGCCGCACTATGGTGATTGGCTGTGAGTTTAGGAAGCGCTTGATTTGATATGAAGCAGAGTTATCTATGAGCGGAGGACAAAGTTTAAACGGCAATATCGCAGTCTATCATGTTCATGTAATCTTGGGCAGTCAAAATCGTAATCGCGATTGATATTCAATTCATTGTACAGCCCTAATGTAATCCAAAAATTTAAAAACAAGAAAAGAAAAAAGAAATACATGCAAGGATCATTCACTATATAAATAAAGGTACAGATAAGGTATAGATGTTTCTATAGCTCTTTTAACAACAGACAGTCACAAAGCAGTTTACAAAAATACAGATGCAGATTTATATTTAGATCCCTAATGAGCAAGACAGAGGTGTCACTCCTTAGAATACACTCCTACAACTGTGTACTATAAAATCAGACAGCACTTGGTGTGTTTGAAAGGCTGTATGAGCATATAGTGTCCTGGAGTCAGAACAGGACTGTGTGCATGATTACAGAAACTGTTCTTAGGTACAAGTCAGCAGAATCCAGATAAGATTACTGAAACAAGGGAAGGACAAATCTTGTGTGAGTGAGAGGGAGAGAGAGAGAGTGTGAGAGGTTTTGCCTTAACTCTTCTGCCCCTTCAATTCCTGAACTGAAAGGCATGAGGAAGCAAGATTTAAAAACAGCTTAATAATTACGACTCAATAAAACTACACCTCCAAACCCAGAGCCAGACAGACACTCGTCTACACCTCCGAACGAAACGTAACCACATAAAGGCATCCATAATCATCAAGGTGACCAGGTTAGAAGGTATGTACTGCAATCCTCTCACCTCTGTGTGTCTGTCTGTGGTTCACGTGTCTCCGGATCTGTGCTGAGCTGTGAGTGTGAGCAATCGGACACCGGGCCCTGCCTGTCTGCTGTGTCCGCTCTCAGCCTTCTCTGGCGTGCTAGCCATCTCTCCTCCTCTCCCTGGCGCTGGAACAGCACAGCACCCGGTCCTAGCCGCTCGCCAGGGGTGGGCACGAGGCTGGGCATCGGGAGTGGAGCGGGGCCACCCGGAGAGGGATACAAGCCAGGCTGCAGAGGCTTTGGGGCCAGGAGTGTGGCCTCTTTGGTTTTCTCTGAGGGGGGGAAGCAGACAATTTACATTATATTCAATAAATCAGCATTAACTGTGATTAAAAATAAAAACAGTGTAATTTCAGCATGTTTTTACATTTTACAACTTTAATCTTTCTAAATGAATACTCCAGCATTCAATCAATCTAATCTCTACTTATCGCAATGTAGCTCAGTATGCATTACCCCAATCATTTGAACACATTTCTCTTTACTGAGAAGAGAACAAACACGGTTTCCTCTATGGCTGTCTAATGGTAGTTGAATTTGGTCCATGTGGTGATTTCTTAAAATCACAAAATAACATTCTGTGGCTGCTTCATGCCAAGATTGTAACGTGTTTGTACTTTATTCATTTTTATTCACTTTTTTTGAACACCGCTGCATATTTTAAATATTTATTAACAACTGTTCTTAGACTTTCATTATATGGGACGTTTGGGTCAAAAAGTTTTATGCTTTTGGAAACTTTTGGAAGTTCTCATCCGTGGTAAATCACACCCATGTGTGGTTGGAGATTTTAGCCGCTTTTCCACCAAAATTACCCGGAACAATTAATCCCAGGAACTTTTTTCAAGGGACCATTTGGTTCTCCAGACCTTTGTTGTCTGCGTTTCCATCGCGGTCTAAAGTACCATGTAGATTAGGCAAATTAGTCCGGTTACGTATGACTGCATGTGTCAAGTCCTTGGTGAGGATATGAAGCATCGAAGTATGCTACAATCAAACTGATTGACACAAAGTAAGATGATTATAATGATGTAATAATGTCAAATGTTTGCTCAGCTCATAAAAACACGTAGCAGGTGCTGATTGGAACACAAACCTTCGAACAATAACAAACTTCGCCTGTCGCAAAGATACAAAGTTTAGAGTTTGCTGCAACCAAGCTGGTGGTTCAGTGGTTAGGATTAGGTGCTCTCACTACTACAGCTCTGGGTTCGATTCCCGGTCACAGGATGAAAATGTAGTTTTATCTTTGGATAGATTCGTCGTGTTTTAAAAACGGACAGACTATTTCCTGAAATCTGATAACGACACTGCAGCAACAACAAGTGTGGAAGAGATTCAAGCTGTGCAGCTGTTGATTGTGATTGTGCTTTGCTAAAAAGGTAATTGAGAAAACAAGGGAAAAGAGACGAGGAGTAAAGCGAATTCAGAATGTTGGTAATCCTAGACTTAATGTCTATACACCGCAACAGACTTTTAAAAATGGTGGTTGAAGAAAAAAAATGCTGTGTGCACTCAACCAATCACCATGTTCAGCACCCAAGTCCCACCCCCCAAAGTTCCTGGCTTTTGAAAAAGTACCGAGTAGGGACTTTGCGAGGGCTAAATATTTTACCTAGAACTTAATTTAGACCCTGGTCCCTGCGGTGGAAACACACAGAGTACCTCCAAAAGTCCCTCGTTTCTGAGGAAAGTTCCTACGGTAGAAACGCCTCTTAAGTTGGAAATGCTGGAGTATTACTTTAACAGCATGTGGACTGAATGCAAGTGTACACCGGAGTACCTGCTCGGTTTGGAGTAAGCTTGACTCGGTCTTCTATCTGCTGCCTGAGAGAGTGCGTGTGCAGCTCCTGGCTCAGGATGTGCTTCTCCATGGCCCGGACCACCTGAACTTCCCTCTCTTTTGCCCTCTCTTTCTGTCGCTCCAGCTCTCGCTCTCTTTCCCGGTCCTCCTCCCTTTCCCTTTCTCGCACACGCTCTCGTTCCCGTTCTCGCTCTCTCTCTGCCTCGTGAGCCCTCTCCTTCTCTCGCTCCCGCTCTCTCTCGCGCTGGCGAAGCTTGTCCTCCATCTGCAGCCTGTCAGAGATTCACACACACACACACACACACACACACAAAGGGTGTGAGATGCAACACTCTCCACAGGAACATAAAGAACACACTCAGAGGGAGGCAACAGGAACACAAGAAGTGTTAATGCTGTTTACTACTGAGCATGAGGAGGAAAAGTTGAACAGATTACAGGCCACATGGGGTGTGTGTGTGCAGGGGCGTGCATGCATGTATACGAGTGTGTGTTTTTGTAAAGTCACGGCACATATGTGGTACAGAGAGAAAATTGTGACATATACAAACAGAATTGTACCATTGCTATCAAGGCCAATTTATTTCAGCCAATTTTAAGTTACTTATGATAAATTTCCAGAGAAATGCATGACTCAAGACTATATGGATGAACTGACATGGAAAACAGAGCCATTTAAAGCATAATAAATTGGTTGAATATCTGTGTGTGTGTGTGTGTGTGAGTACCTCTCGCTCTGCAGGGCTGTCAGAGACTGATGGCTGAGCTCTGCAGGGTAGCGCACCCCTGGCAGGTGGAGGTGAGCAGTGCTGGGATGCATGGAGGGCACGGCTCCCCCCGCTGGCAGCTGGTAGTAGGGCGAGCGCAGGGTAGATAAACAGAGGGACTCATCCATTCTGCCCAGCGGCGGGGGGAAAGAGGGGAACAGAACAGCTCATTAGTGGCTCCTGCTGCTGCATCACTATCTCTGTAGCCTCACTTCATTAACCTCAGCTCTCTGCCTCCCCTTTACACACACACACTCTTACTGAGGTCAACATTGAAGGAAATTTCAGCCTCCACTGAGAAGAATGCAGAAAGTGTGTGCACTTTGTGTGGCTAAAATTTTTTAAAATGTGAGGCATTTAAAAAGAAAGATATATGAAAACATTTATCACAAATGATTAATGCAAAGATATCCTAACAAAAGTGGTTCCAGAGCCTATCCCAGGAGCACTGGACCTGAGCTGGGAATACACCCTCGATGAGACGCCACACGCATTCACGTAGGGGAAATTTCCCTTCGCCAATCCACCTACTGACAGGCTTTTGGACAGTGGGAAGATATCGGAGAATCAGATGAAATCCACATGGGGTAAAACACTTCCTGAGGATGAATGAATTGAGAGTTGCACTGCTAATGTTGATGCTAAAAAAAACCCTGTTCTGAGCAACTACACACAAACAGACCAATAGGTAAATGTCATAAGAGCATGCATCTCTCATCATGCATTCAGTTGTGTTCGTGACAATATCTTTGTGCTCTGTAAAGAGAAATACAGATTTGATTTTTGAAATAACAACAGCTCAGCTCTTAAGCCAGCAGAAGCATCAGCTGGAGCTTAAGTATAGGCTACACACACACACACACACACACACACACCTGTATGATGATAGGGCAGGGTAGGCTAGATATCCTGAGCGAAAGTATCCAGGGTCTAGCCCTAATGGGAGTGAAGACAGTCTCAAGTCCTCGGAACTATAGGGGCGGAACCCACTGCGCAGGTATTCCTCTGGCACCGCCCCCAAAGACACTGCACCAACTGGTACAGCCCCTGAATGCAGAACATGAGGCATCTGACGTGATAAACTGAGAGAGAGACAGAGAGAGAGAATATCTTATCAGACCAAGATATTAATATAATGTTATATGCTAATCATCTGTTATTATGTTAATTTATGCTAATAGTATACTGCCATGTTACAGGTGCTACATGAGTGTGGTTCTTACTTAAGGGCTTGTAGACGAGGATCCTGCATTACTGCACTGGGGTTCAGGCCAAAAGGGTAAGGCGGCCCCATGAGGTGAGGGGGAAGAGAAGAGACTGTCTTCTCCTGGGTCGGAGGAGGAGGGTCTGAGGGCAGCCGCTCTCGAGCAGGCCCTCTCAATGTGGCCTCAGCCTGGGAACACAAAAAATTCATGTTGTTATCTTAAATATACTTACCATATCAGGTCAACCGTTGTGCTTTTATTTTGCTTTGGAGTTCTAAAATAAGAGCTGGGGCTATAATAAATTCTCACCCACTATACTAGCCATACTTACAGACTGTCCATACTCTTAGCTACTGTGATGCAGCAACAAAGTAAGGCAGAAGAAAAAATGTAGAACATTCAGCATAAGAATGCAAATCAACACATTTTGCATGAAGTTTTTAGCATGTAAATGTGATTCAAAGCAGCTTTCTAATGACTACAGCACTACTTTTCTTGCCACACCACAAAGAGCAGGAGGAAGGATATGGGTAGGTTTTGTTTAAAACCTAAACCTAGAGACACAAATATACTTCACGGTCACCACGTACGTGCGTGTACAGCAGCTATGCGGGCAGCATTGTTCACATACTCGCTTGTGTATCTTATGCATACCTGGAGGATTAAAAGCAGCGTCCACTAGATGACAATTCAGAGCAAAAATGTCTCGGCCCATCTGGTTTCTCAGTCAAACTGTATGTTAGCCATTTCATACAGCTGACAAGCTCCCTTTCTCTTTAAAACTTTCTGTCATGGGCGTGATTGCTGTCACTGGGGCTGTGTCTCAAATCAAAAACTCCAACATAACTTTTAAAAAAATATATTTTCTAATGTAGAAAATCCAGAAGGATTTTTGCTTCTCAAACACAGATCTTTCAGTAGGATTAATATGTTTTTAAAATTCAAACACTTACTGTAAAAGTGTGTAACACTTACTGATTGGTGTGAAGTAGTAAATAAAGAATGATCTAGAATAATATAGAAGTATGCGATTTGAGACACAAAGTTAGTTTGTTTAGTCAGTCGGGGACACCGTGTTTACATGGACCCATTTTCGTAAATCTGAATTAATTCAATCCGATTGCAGAAATGTTTATATGTACCCTAAACGCCACAACCTGATTCAAAAATTTATTTATATGTGCATCATATGTATTCCAACAAATCTTCTGCGCAAGCGTACAGCATCTGTTGTCATGCCAACCATACAACAGTGGAGAAAGAAAGCCATGGACATGATATCAAATGACCTAATAGGATTTTTTTGCTTTGTTGACATATAAACATGTCAGCAACTGTTTTTCTCCAAATCTTACTCACTGTAATTTGTTCTACTGACCGACTGAATCCTCCAAACTGCATTACCGCTCACACGTCTTTGAAGAGATCGTTATTATGAACTTTTCTTCCATCCAGTCTCTCAACAATCTTTTTGTCTTTTAATATGTTCAACAAATATCGTCTCCTCCATTGAACAGTTCTTTCCACCGGACGCCATATTGAGACGTCAGACTTGAATATACGCACCGTTGCAATGCGCATGTGTACAAGGTATTTTTGATATATCTGATTGAGAAAATAATAGGATTCAAGCGTTTACATGGTAAATTTTTTTCCCTCTCCACCGGATTAGAAAATGAATAAACCACCCTTTCCAATCTGATAAAAATTTTGCTCGGCTCGAGTTCAATCGGATCGATAAAGCGGTTTACATGAAGGCTTTTCAGTCCGATTGCACCGTCAATCGGATTGCTATACTTGCAAGAGGAGCAAAAAATTTTATATATTTTAACTTGATATACAAGCGAGGTCTTGCAATACGAGTACCTGCAGTACGTATACGCTGCTTTGTCTGCTGACCATCATGTGATCAATACTGAGCCCATGGTTCTTCTCTCACATGCTCGTTCTCAGACAGCGTTCCTCACTTGTATAGTCAACATCCATGTGAGCGTATACTGTTTACAATAGTGTTGTGACTGTGTAGTAACTTTACTGCAACGATGGGCCCCCATGAAGAAAAAATTTGAAAAGGAAGGCGATAAGAAAAAGGAGATGATTACGGTGGAAGTTAAGAAGGAAATCATCGAGAAGCACAAATGAGGTATGCGAGTAGCTGAGTTGCGAGTAGTCAGTTGTCAATTAAATTGCGTCCTTGGGGAAGACCATGGGACTGGAGGTGAATGAAGACAACATTCAAGAGCTGGTGGAGGAACATCTGACCACCGACGAACTGATCTGCATCACGAGCAACAGCAAGAGGTTATGGAGGAGGTCTCGTCTGAGGAGGAGGAGGAGGAGAAAAAGACAGAGAAATCCCTCACTTCAAATGAGATTAGGGAGGTGTGTAAAATTTTGTAGAAAAGCACCACCCGAGTAAGACTGTAGCAGTGCGAGCGATGAATCTGTTTA